CTCTCTCTCTTGTCCTAACTAAAAAAACTGCATCGTATTTCCCCATTTACTAATTAACCACTCGACTATTGAAAGTGCCTTTCTAAAAAGGCACTCAATTATTGAAACAAACACACAAGATATTTCATTATTTTATTTCCCTCCCTATCTCTCTCTCTCTCTCTCTCTGTATTTACCAAAAAAAAAAAAAAAATCAAATTGATCAAGGAAAAAAGCAAAATAAATTGACGAATCTCTCATAAAATCACCGCTAGTAAGCGCTACCATAGTTTCAACAACCGCATTGCGCGGGTTTCAATGAAAATTCACTGTGTGTGCGTGTACTAAAAAATTCATTTAAAAATCGACAATATTCGAAAGGAAAATCTAATTCACGTCTCAAACATGAACTTGAATTAAAAAATCGAAACCAACTTCTGATAAGACCTGACATATTACATTACTTTGAATTTGCGCTGGACGTGAACGACCTTTGCCCTTTGCTCGATGCCTTTGGGAAAGGCGCACGAGTCCACGAGAAATAGCAGACGATTTCCCGGTTGCTTTCATTTTTTTTCAAAAAAAAACCAATACCAAAACTAATTCAAAAATTAAAATAACTAAAAATAATCAAACATTCGAAATATTAAAACTCACTGACAAAACTATAAACGGAGAATTAAATTTATCATATGCTGATTTAAACTTTTTTTTAAAAAAAAAAAAAGCTTACCAATGAGGGGAAAAATACTGGGTTGGTCGAGTAACGACTTGAGGCTGCTTTCAACTAAGGTGGGAGATGATCGGTCCTTGTCACTCATTTCACGCACTGCGCTACACGAAACATACACACACATTCACCAGGACACACGATTTTTTTTTTAAAATTATTTTATGTTATAAAATGCTGACAAAAAAAATTCGTAATGAAAAAAAAAATTGTAGGTAGGAAAATAAATTTTTTTTTTTTAACCCCCGGCGGATCGAGGAATATGAGACACCCGCGCACCAGAACCTCACGACAGGCCCTAGTGCTCGTTGCGAAATTTGATCGACGTCGTCGTTGTCGTCGTTGTCGTCAATGTTCCTCGTCACCGTCGTTCGGGTCGTTCCCGTCTTCACCCACGTACACACGCACCGAACGCTGCCGACCGCGCCGTGGCACATTAAAATAACACCGAGCACTCGGTGCTCCGTTCTATGCTCTTGAAAATCAATCTAAAAAGAGTCTTGCATAGTGGCGCGATCTTTCAGACAAATCGCAGACCAGCTTGTTAAGAAAATATGCTGCTGATAACAACACGTGGTTATTTTATGTATGTCCCCCCTCCCTTCTCTCTAGCGATACTGATAAGCGTATATAACATGCGCTATATACATTTTAGTAGAAATAATTATATATCTATACGCGTCTTCTCGTTGGAATGTACACAAGAATTCTACCCCGACCTTCCTCTACATATTTCGATGACACGCTTTCCTAATAGAGATTTGAGAGAGAATTTCCCTTTTGCAAATTTATATTTTTGTTTTGATTTTCAAAATTTATATAGAATTATTATCGAAAATATTTAAAATATAAGAAATAAAAAAAATATATTTTTTTATTATTAGGATTTATAAATTAAAAATAATTAAAATTAATAATAATAACAATTACAATTAATAATAATAATAATAATAATAATAACAATTAAAATTATTATTAATAATAATAATAATAATTAAAATTATTAATAATAATTAATAATAATAATTAAAATAATTAATGAAAATAATAAATTTAATTTTTAATAAAACAAAAAAAGATTTAAATGAAAATTAAAACATTAACATTTAAGCAAAAATTTATTCAAAAGCAAAAACTAATTTTTATATCAATTTTATTTATTTTTTCAAAATATATTATGAATTATTAAAAATAAATTTTTGTAAAATGATTTAAAACATTTTATTCGCGATTTAAAGCTAACGAATTAGTACACTGAAAAAAAAAATTTATTTAATTCAAATACTCGATTACTTGACTATTATCAAATAAATATTTATTTATATCAAATAATTATTATTTAATTTATTATATTTAATTATTATTATTGAGTCAATTGGTTCAAATACAATTTATTTAATTCAAATAAAAATTATTTGGTTCAAGTAAATATTTATTTGATAATAGTCAAGTAATCGAATATATTTAAATCAAAGAATTTTTTTTTTCAGTGCGTAATAAATCTAATTTCTATTCTCAACAACACTGGCACAAAATAAAAGAAATTTTATAAGATTCCAATTTTCGATCCTAATTATGCACGATGTGGAGAAAATTTATTTAATTCAATAAAACATTTCTTGAAGATAAGAAAATGTCTAACAATTTTTTTTTTGAATAGAATATACGATTTTGATTGTACCAACAAAATTTTTTTTCCTGCCTCAATCCAATTTACATTAAATTAATTTTTTATTATCTAAACTATAAATTACAACAAAGACTTATAATCTGTTTCTAACACAGGGAAAGAATGGGAAAAAAAAGTCGAACCAATTGGTGAATTTGATCCAAAAATAAAAAAAGTCGAAATTATTTTGTTTACAACCCCCCCCCCCTAGGATTTAAGTTTTGTTTTTCTTTTAAATCAACATTAACCAAAAATTATTTTAAAACAAAAAATTGTCATACTTATTATTAATTTATTTCACTCACCATTTGTTGAAAAATAGCCAACTATCCAATCCAGATTTCCATGTTTTTAGAGGTCCATATATTATGATCCATCGAGAAATGCAATTATTCACAACACAATTATATTCGATTTTAAAATCACGCACTACCGACTACTTTTACGTTTAACTGTCCACTTTTAATAAAGTCACATTTAACATTAATTTTTTGTTCACATTTCACAACAATACTTGTATAAATTAAAAAAAAAAATACAATCAAAACAATTGGGCAACTTTCTTTAAACCGGCACTCCGACAATTGATGTAAACATAACCTCACTTTCTATGAAACAAAAACAATTGAAGTTTTTTTTACCTCACACTACAAAAACTTGTTATCTATTCAAATTATAAGAAGGCCAAAACAATATTGAATCTAATTTTCAATAAAATTTACCCTAGATTAATTTGTTTTTAACGAAAACTACTTATATTTCTAACACCCACGACATGAATCTACCGGCAAACGACGCTATCACCGACTATTAATCACAAATGAAATTTTATGTATTTCAAAAAACTATTCTTATATTTTATACTTCGAGAAACAATTTTTATTACTATGTCAACTGAAAAAATCTATAAATAACTGTAAAATAACTAAAATGTTACGTAAAATGATTATGAGAATAAGTACACAAACTTGAAAAGTGGTGAAAAATGGCGACAGCAACGCCACCTGACAGCGAGAACCTCATACTAAGTGCGCGAAAATTTGCACAATTCAAAAAATTTGCAAATCATAAACTCCGTAAATTAATTAAATATAATACTAAATTATCCTGAAATACGTAACAAAAAAATTGAAATTTCAACTAAAGATTAATTTAACAACAGTAAAAGTAAAAAAATGAGTCAAAACAAAGTCTAAAAAATTTTCAATTTCAACTGTCGGTGAAATTGCCTACCATCAGGGGTAACCGTCACTTCACGATTTTTCCCAAATTACCAAAAAAAATTGTTTCAGAAAGATAATAATTATTAATCATTTTTACTGATAAAATCTCTCCTTCCTCACAAATTGAAAGAATAATTGATAAATTTAACAAAAAACCCTGTAAACTGACCATCGATGAATTTTAACCTGAATCGTTCATGATATTTTCACAGACGTTGACACGGCACTTAATGACACGAATCACAATAAATTAATAAGCATCCGAAGAATACGTTACTAGAACTTTGTCCAGAATGTAAATAATTTATCGAAATTCACTTTATATCGCATTATTTACTCAAAATCTCACGCACTACTACAATTGTTAACCGACAATCAGAAAATTCTGTGCAATACTGATTTCCCGCCTGGCGGAAGAACACTAGCGCCACTGGCGATTTTGACATTAACTAATTTCGCAAATGGCGGGATATTCAAATTACATTATATATTTAAAATCAAATATAACACTAAATCATCCTGAAATACGTAACAAAAAAGTTGAAATTTTAAGCAAAGTATAATTTAACAACAGTAAAACTAAAAAAAAATTACTCAAAGCAAAGTTTTAGAAATTTTACCTGTCGGAAAATTGCCTACCATCAGGGGCAACCGTCATTTCACGATTCTTTACAAATAATCAAAAAATTGTTTCACAAAGATAATAATTATTAATAATTCTTAATCTTTCTTAGCGAATTGAAGGAATAATTGATAAATTTAACGAAATACTCTATAATCGATAAAAGATGATCAATTTTAACCTGAAACGTTCATGATATTTTCATAGACGTTAACACGGCACTTAATGACACGAATCACAATAAATTAATAAACATCCGAAGAATACGTTACCAGTACTTTGTCCCAAATATAAATAATTTATCGAAATTCACTTTATATCATAATATTTATTCAAAATTACACGCACTACTACAATTGTTAACCGACAGCCACAAAATTCTGTGGAACACTGATTTCCCGCCTGACGGAAGTACACTAGCGCCACTTTCGGATTTCACATTAACTAATTTCTCTAACGGCGGGAAATTCAAACATTACATACAATTTAAAATAAAATTCCTACAATTTTTGTTTTTGTTTATTGTTTGAATGCTTACCATTTGTAAATAAATGGAAAAATAAATAAATTTATATATTTAAATAAATTTAAAAATAATAAAAAATATTATACAATTAAATTATATAACATAATATTAATATTATAATTGATATTTTAAATAATCTATTATTAATTCTTTAATAATTAAAAATTATTCACTTTAAAATTAATTAACAACGACCAAGAAAAAAAAATTTCATAACAATAATTTTGACAATTGAGAGTTTAAAAACAATGAAACAAATTTAATTGTTTGAGAGTTGATGAAATCTACGTTTTATTTAACAAATACGTTACAAATAAACATTTCTTTCTACCCTGTAAAAGTAACGATAAATGCAAACAAACGAATTTCAAAATTAATAATACAGTCACTTTTTAGCGTAAACGAGCTTTAATTAAATTTCAAATTTTTAACTTTGACGATTTGAAAAATCTTATAAATTCTAATGCAAAATATAAGAAAAAAAAAAAAAAAAAAAAACATTCGCAGGACATATCATGCAAATATTTAATTATATCTTAAAAGTAAATAGTACATTTTTACTTTTCAGTGACTTAAAAACTAACGTACATGCTTCGACTGTAATTACAAAGAGTTTAAATAAAAATTAATTTCCATTCACTAAAAAGAAATTCAAAATTTTGACACAAGAGTTTTCTTAAAATAAATAAATGCATATATATATGTACGAATTTGTTTTAAATATGTATCACTAGATATGAAAGTTATACAAAAACTTTAGTATCATAAATAATTATTATGAATCATTTCTTTTTTTTTAGCATCACGAACATTTGTTTCTTTTTCGCTTTTTATTTTATAATTTTTTAAAAATATTTTTCATAATTTTTTTTTTTTGGTATTTTGATATTTTTCTTTTTAAATAAAAAATTGTTTGTTATATATTATTAGCCATATTTAAACAAAAAAAAAGAGAAAAAAAATCTTTTCAAAAATACAATTATCGAATGCATTAACAGAGAATAAAATTCGACGAAATTTCATTTAATAATTCAATTTAAATAAAGCGAGAGCTTAAAATTCTAAAAATTAAAACTATTTTCAATGATTATTTCAAATACCAGTCTTTATCAATTTTTTTTCCAGAAGGTAATTTTGAAATAGTAAATAAAAAAATTAAAAAAAAACAAAAATATCTAATATTTATCATTGCCCCTCTGATCGACATTAGTTCAGAAAAAAAAGAACAATATTCACAATTGTATGAGGGAGTGAAAAAAAAAGCTTTCTGCGAAAGTATTAACTATAAAGCGAAGATCACATTAATTAGCGAGACTAATAACTATTTACAGTGGAAAACGAAAAATGAAATTAAAAAAAAAAAAAAAAAAAAAAAAGAATTCTGACGATAATTATCGGTAAATTGTTCCAAGAATTGCACTCCTTTTTTATTCGGATTCAAACCCAGACACTTAACGATTCTGTTGTGGTCTGAGAATTTGCAAAACTGCCACTATGGCGTTTGAAGAGAGCTTGAATTTCAGCTGGAGTCGAGGACCAGCGTCGATGTCTCACTTTATCGAGTGGCACTTCCGGAAGTCCGACTTCTGTATGGCAGCCTTTTACTGGTGAAGAAAATGGAATCGCCGATGGCAATCCAACTTCCTGTAAATTCAAAAAGTTAATAAATTCATTATTTTTCAAATCGAAGTTTAAAAAATTTTAATTTTTTCAAATATTTAATTTATACTTTTATTATTATAATAATTTATTAAATAAATAAATCCAGTAACAAAAATATAATTATTAGAGAAAAAAAATAGAAAAAAACGAATTAAATCGCGTTTAAAAAAAAAAAATCTCAATAATTTTACCTGAAATGAGCTCATGGAGGAAAATCCACTTTCATCCTCCGCGCTACTAACGCTATTCGATGGTTTTGGTCTTATTTTAACATCTTTTTCAATTTTTTTAATCGATCGTGATTCACCAGTGAAAAAATCACGTTTCGATATTGATTCAACAACAACGAAATTATCGGTATTTGTTAAAACCTCATCGTCTGTTGTTTTACTGCTTCCTGAATTTAAAGATGTTGCATCAAGTGATCTTCTTGCTCTTGGCAATAATGACAAATTATCATTGGCATTATCAATTGTATTTGTGGAATTTTTACATATCGTTCTATTATTATTGTTTTCGGTTTCATTGCACGATTCATTGCCACGATCACTGCTATCATGATCGCTGACAAACGATGTCTCGGGTAATGTTGTTGAATTGGCAAAATTATTCGGCTGCATCGATAATGACATTTCGTGATGATGATGATTATTATTATGATGCTGATGATCATCGGACAATGTTATTGAACCATTATTTTCCATTGATGTCATTTTCATTAAATCCGGATCACGCATTGCCAATAATGATTGAACAGTTCTCATCAATCTGCAAAATAATACAATTTTGATTATTTATTCTAATCAATTTTATTAACTAATAAATAATTTAAAAAAATGTTTTCTCTATGAATTTTTTTTATAATTATAAATAATTATATAAAATAAATAATAATATTTATATTTGTATAAATTTTTTCAGTAATTTTTTTTTTTTAATTTGTACCTGAATGCCTCCTGGGACAATTTTTCTGGTGGCACTAAATCAGGATCGTGTTCATGTTGTTTGGGTCGTCGATAAACAACACCATCGTGTGTTTTATTTAAATCTTGTTTTGATGCAGCAATTTTAAATCTTGGCGTTGTTGAATGAATAGAATCGTTTCTTCTTAAAACTGACCATGTAAAATCTTTGAGTAAAGATGGACTTGGCGATATTTGATTAACTGATTTTGCCCTCGTAAACCTGGAGGATTCAGAGGACGATGATGACGTCGTCGAAGCTCCTGGGCTTGGTGAGGGTTCAATATGAACAGTGTGAACGCTACGACTCCTTGGTACCCGGCCTTTGTCCTTGGCACTGCTCTTCTCATGAAGAATGTCAAGGCTCTTCCGGGTTCGATCCAAGAAACGAACCACTTGCTCCATCAATGAACGGTACATTTGTCGATTTGATTCAGTCTGCGAAAAAAAATAATAATCGTTAATTTTTGATTTAAAAAAAAAAAGGAAATAAATATTAAATATAATAAACAAATAATAAATTAAAATAAATAAATTAAAATAAATAAATTATTATTAATTATTATTAATTATAATAAATAAAATAAAATAAATATTAAATTAAATAAACACAATTAAATATAAATATTTTCTGAAAAATACACAATCATAAAAATTGGAGAAAAGAGGAAATAAAGAAATAAAACAAAAATAAAAAAAAACGAAATATAAAAGGAAAAAATAATCAAAGATTATAATAATTACTGTAAAGGAATTTAAAATTATAAAAATTAGATTTGTTGAAATTAATTAATTTGTTAAAATAAAATAAAAAAAAAACGAAGAATAATGAATAATAGTTAGAAATCCAAAAATAGGAAGTAAAAAATAAATTAAAAAAAATAATAAATAAATAAAAATCTCTTAGTAATTTTTAAAGAAAGAAATCAATATCCTTCGACAGATATTTTTTTTTGATTAATTTCAAATATAATTTTTATCTTAGAATTATAATACATTTATCAAAATGCAATCTTATTAATCTTACGTAAGTTGTCTCGCGAAAAATTACTTCGATAAAATCGACTTTGTCCCTAGAAGGACGTGTATAATAAAAGGAGCAAGGTAAGCAAGGTGAAAGATCCCTATTATCAATTTTGATGTCAACTTTATATGCATAATTTTTTTTATGAAATAAAAATAATAAATAAAATAAATAAAAAAAAATAAATAAATAAAAATTAATTAAATAATAGGTATTAATATCAATATAAATATTTTTATATTTTTTTTAAATGAAATATAAATATTAATATATAATAATAATAATATATATTAATAATATTAATAATATATTATATTAATATTTATATTATTATTAATTAATTAATTATTTTAATATATAAATAAAATTTTTTTGATTTACATTTTTTTTCTCTACAAAAAAAATTTATAAATTATTATTAATAAATAAATTTAAAAAAATAAAATTATTAATAATAAATATATATTTTTAAATGAGAAAAAATAATTTACCTGTTTAAGTTGCCATTGTAGTGTATTGACTTGGGTTTGGAGGAAAACATTGTCGATGACTTGAACACGAGGCATTCGATTTGCAGTCAGAGCGTCCTGTAACCTTTGATTTTCTTCCTTGAGCACCTGGCATTTCTGAAACAAACAAAAAAATAAATAAATAAATAAATAAATTGTTCCATGAATTCAATGAAGAAGAAATTCCTTTCGATAATTTTTCAAAAAAGAAAGAAAAAAAAAAAAAAGAAATCTTTATAACAATCTGAAATTGTTGGATCTCGAGGAAACTATAAAACGATTATCCTGCGGTTGATATGTAATAATTGAAATGTATAACAATAATTTTATTGACTAAATTGTCAAGAAAGGAAATATATTCTTTTTAGAAAATATAATAAATTTCCTGGATTACATTTTTTAAAAAAAATCAATATTTTTTTAATGGAAATATTTTCATTGGGAAATCACGAGATATTGAAAACCGAAAAATAAAAAAAAATAATGAAATAAAAAAAAATATGTATAAAAATTAAAAAATGAAATAAAAAAATAAATATCAATTAAAAAATGAAATAAAAAAATAAATATCAATTAAAAAATGAAATAAAAAATAAATATATAAATTAAAAAATACAAAAAAAATAAAATAATAAAAATATATACTTATGTAATTATCTATGTACTTTGATTGTAAATTGTAAATATAATGAAACAGTTTCTTGTATACAATTCAATAAAACTTCCCATCAACTTTGAATAGAGTAAAACTAAACCGCAAATGTAGAAAATGGGTGCGACTTGTGGGTGGTAATTCCTCTCTATATCGATGCACCTATAGATTCAGGAATCTTAGAATGTCTTTTCACATAGTGATGGAGAAAGAGCCTTCAAGCAACAACTCCTGTGTAACAAAAAAAAAGAGAAAAAAAAAAAAAAAAACCACCCATATACCAATAATAGTTACCACAGATCAAGAGAAAGCCTTTAATTCACTCTAAACACCCACATTCACATATCAGAAGGTCGTAAAGATTTTGCGATAAATGAGACGTTAATTGATCAACCGAAAGAAAAACGATTCTATAATAAATATTATATGCTTTTTGTATATATATATAGTTTTGATTATAAATTATCTCTGCGATGATGAAGATTATCAATTATTATTTCTGTAGGGACGAGAGAGTGCAGGAAATCCTTTTGAATCAAGATTTTTTTTTTTATAAATTTTTCTCCAATGCCATCATTTTCATAAAGCTATCATCCCGAAGAGATGATTATGTTGTTTCATAAACGTGCTCATTACTCGATTGGCAGTTTTAAGCTTACTACACTATTACTACTGAACTTTCATTAGCAAAATGGATTTAATGAGATTTCTATAAATTATTGATTATATATACGATGGTTCGAACCGTAAAATAATTTTCTTTACAAAATAACAGAAATTTCATTTTAATAACAAAATTATAATTAGAAAATAATAATTTTCTTTATTGAATTCATGAAATTTTATTTTTTTTAATTTTATAAATTCCAAATACAGTTTATTCAACGTAAACATGTAATTAACAATTAATTAATAGTTGAATAATAATTACTTTTCTTTTTTTTTTATTACTTAACTTTTAATTAATTCGAAACGAAATATTTAATTTTCTTGTTATATAATTATTTTTTTTAAATTTTACAAATTTCACGAAAAAATTTGATAAAAATAATAAATAAATAAAAAAAAACCTTGTTAACAAAATAAATAAATTATTTCGAAAATTGTAATTATTAAAAGTATAATTAACGAATTAATTGTTGTTAAAATTAATTAAAAGAAAATAAAGAAAATAAATAAAATAATAAGTAAAAAAAAGCGAAATTGTCTTTTATAAAAAATAAAATTCTCCATGCGCAAGACGATAAAGGGATGCGATGCACATTAAATTTTCTCGCGCAACGAAGGAAAATAAAGAAATATATATATATATATATATAATAAAACATTTTAACTGATGATGATATTGCCGCGCGTCCCAGGCAAAAGTCGCACTCGACGAATATTTTCGCGCGCGGATGAGCGATGGGCTTCCATCGAGGCGAGAAAAGGAATTAACAGGGCGATAAAGAAGCGGAGGAAGTCAGGAAATTAGAGGATGAAGGAGAATAATGGCGCATGCCTTTATATACCTTTTCACGATCGTAATTCGCCGCAAGTGCAAATCCCAAAGGGCGCTCTCTCGTTTTTTTTCGAGTGTCGGCAATTTAAAAAAAAAAATAAATAAATAAATAAAAAAAAAAATCTTTTACGATCAAAGGTCCTCTTTTTATTCCGAAAATATATCCAATTTTCTTTTTCACTAATTAATTTCATTTTTTTTTGCTGCTTTTGTTTTGTAGTATCTTTTTTTATTGTACAATTTTTATTTAATCAATTAATATTAATTAAAGGATAATTAATATATTAATTAATAAAAATTGATATAAAAAAAATTCCGTCAATCTGATTAAATAAAAATGGGATAAAAAAAAATTAGTAAAATTTAATTAATTCATAAAATAAAAAAATAATAAAATATTAATATAAAAACATAAAAAAATAAAAATAAAATAAAATATATAATAAATAATAATATATAAAAATTAAAAATTAATTAAATTAATAATTAATTAATTTATATTTATAATATATATAATAATATATAATAAAATATTAAAATATTTACTAATTCAAAATTAGTGTAAAAAATTTCTAATTGAAAATTTTATCACAAAAACCATTTTTTTCCATTATAAATAATGATATACACATATTTGTTATAGAAATGGTAAACTATGACTAAAAACGAGTTAAATAAATAAAAAGAAATAAAATCGAGCCATGGGAAATAAAATAATAATCAAGACATGAAAAACGATAAATTAAAGTTGAGAAAACCAAGTGAGAAAAATTAAAATAATATTCGATTGAATTTTAATTTCTATATAGAATTTCTCAATATTTTATATATACCAATTTTCTATTTCATAGCATATTTGTATATCAATAGAAGAGTTATACTCTTCCTTATTGTATGCGAATACAAATATATTTTATATACAAAATGTATAAAAAATAAAGAAGCGCGATTTTGTATTTTTATATTATTTATATTTTTTGTTCAATTCCCATTGGGTGTAAAATGACGTTGATCGCGCAATTCTTTTGTATCGATATATATATATATAATATATATTGCGGTTATATATTCCATTTCTGTGCTATCAAATTATTTTCATGTTTGCAGGTGCATTGGGAATCAAGATCAATTGCCAATGCAAACACGATGAAAAGAAGCGTGTGATCTCTCTTTTTTCCATATATATAAATATATATTGGAGAATAAATTAGTTTCCCATGCCGTCAATTCTATATAATATATTATATATATATAAATTTTATAATGAGCAAAAAAATAATTTAATATTAAAAAATAATAGTCAATTATTAAAAAAAAAAACTAAAAAAATGACAATAATAATCAAATTATATTTATTTATTTGTAAATACGAGCAGTGCCCTTTCGTACTAGTGTAATTAATTAATTATCAAAATAACAAAAAAGAAAGTGAAAAAAAAATTATGCTAATTTTAATTCAAATTAAATTAATATTAATTAATTCAAATAATTTTTGGATTAATTTTATATTATTTTTTTAATTATCATATTTGATTATTTTTTATTTATATTATTATTATAATTTTTTTTGCGCGATTTTTATTATTATTTATTATTACTACTATTATTATTATTATTATTATTTACTCTTATTATTAATATTATTATTATAGGTACTATTATCATTTTGTTATTTTATGTATTCAGTATATTTAGAATAACAATTTCCGCATTGGCAATTAACTAAGAAAAATTTTAGCGAATAATTGACATTTAAATTGAAAATACAATAAAGTTTAAAATATATTTTATAATGATTTGGAAATAATAAAAATGTGATCAAAGGAAAATTTCTCAAAAAAAAAAAAATAAATTGTGGAAAGTCAGCTCGTTATAAGGTTTTATGTAAGAAAGTACCAATCTTCTCAATACAAAATATATTGAGAATAAATACGAATAAAAGGATATAATATTGAATGCGAGCACTATTCGTGTGAATCTATGCGCGAGTATTTTGTTGTTAATAAATTTTCACGGCTTTTCTTGTATAAAGATACATCGAGAAAGAATTTCAAACTATTATAACAAAACAATGGCCTTTCACTTCTATAATAAACACACAGATACGACCCACACACAATTATAAAATATATTGTTGTATATAAATATATTGAAAATCAGAACATATATACTAAAAAAAAAAAATTGGAGAAGCAATAGCTTAATGAATTTTTGCCAAAATTATTAGTTCTCTTTAAATAATTTTATAAATGAATGAATTTTTATAGCAATGGAAAAAAATATTTTTAAGTTACAAAACTTAAAATGAAAGCAAATTATAGAAAATTCAAAAAATTTTAAATAAAAATGAAAGATTCAAAGAAATTTTTTCAGGAAGAAAGGGGAATGATGGATTTTTTTTTTTTTTGGTACTCAAATTTCCATACAATAGCGGGAAAAGGGAGGATGAATCGTCGAGCCGTCAAGTTACAAGATATCCGGTCGATGTACATATGATAAGAATTCATATATATATAGTACATATAGTGGACGAAAAGTGGCGCAAGAACCTTTTTATATATACCATCAAGTGATTCACGTTTCTGTTGCAATGCTCTTATGCACAGGATGTTCCTAAAAACTGTATTTTTTAAAGGGATAACAAAAAAAAAAAAAGCCTTTTGTATATATTTAATTCGGAAATAACTGTTTTCCATAAAGAAGATGCGAGACAAATAATAGGCGTTTAAAAAAAATTATTTAGGAAATGAAATATGTATAAAGTTCTCCGTTTCTTATTTTTTAGGGTTTTGTGCTTTTGGGATATTTTTTTTATAAGCAACATTTCTTTACACAATGATTTGTATATATATAATAAATTTTTAATTATCCTACTTGAATATTTCGTAATATTTCCTGTTGCAATAAATCATTATGTCACGATTGCAAAAATGGGTAGTGCGAGGGATAATTTATTCATTTTTC